TAAAATCCTTTTATTCTATTTAAATCTATTTAACTTATCAGTTCTTAACATTTATGTTTAGGTTACCCACAAAACTTCATGAGACCTTAGACAAAATCAGCCTTTATACTAAGTTATTGTTTTTGCTGATCAATTTATAAGCTTAGGTAAAATAAAGGTAAAGACATGTCTGTTTTAATTAAACCGACACACTAGTTTTAATGTCAGATATTTTCCCAAATCTCTTGATCCTGTAAAGCTTTTGGATTGCTTTCTATATTTCTGAAAATTTTATAATACACAATCTTTAATTTATATAAATTCATAATTCCGTTAAGCCCATTAAACGTAGCTCTTTTACCAGTCAGCAGTACCATCTGCAGGTAGAAAACACCACACAAATACAACACATATATAGACACATGTGAATATACAAACAGATGCAAATAGAGACCTCATGGCTTCCATAAAAGATGTGTGCTCTGTTTAAAGGACCTCTCCTCCCTCACTTCTATCAGCCTGTCCCGATGCTAACAGAGTGTAGACATTCTGATAATCTTTTCTGGTTTCAGTTCTTCCTCTCGTTTCAGTTCTTCCTCTAGTTTTCTAACCCTAGCTTCTGCCTCTAGCTGGGTGTCAGTGGCCAGCCCATAAGAGGGATCAGCCTATAGCTGTCACCATACATTTTCCTGTCTCGACACAGTGTAGTTCCTCAAACGAGTGCATGAGATCAGCCAGCGTTTTGGCGGCATCCCAGTACTCACACGGCAGTCTACATGTATCTATTACAGAGGCCACCCTTACTGACATGGACATAGATGGCCAACCTGGAATTTCCTCTACAAACGCTTTTTTCCCAAAGCCCATTTCTTTGGTCTCCTGGCTGGCTCACCAATTGTTAGTATACGCAGACCCAGGGAAAAGCTCTGAGAATAAAAATCTACCTCTGCAAGCAGAAGGCAGGAAAAGACCAAAGAGACAGGCTGGTGACTCCAGTCTGGTAATTAATAGAGTTTATTAAGGGAAACTTACATAGGAGATATGTCCTTGGCAGCTGCAAGACAAAATAGATTTCTGCACCCACTTGGCAGGTGCCAAAGAATTATATAGGGTAAAAAGGGGTGGGAGTGAGGTGAGGAAATAGTCACAGTATTAGTATGTGAATGCTACCAAGTATGAGAAATAATGTGCTTGACCAGGTCAGGGCAACAGCCTGTTTCAGGGCCTAGCCCGTAGTGGGATGCAAGGGAAGGGGTGCTGATTTATGTCAGAATGAACATTGATTCTGATCAGATAGTATCTAAGTGGGACCAAGCAACTTCCCCCTTCTGTCCTTGGTCCAGTTTATGGGTCCAGTAGCGGCCATGTTATATAGCAGTCTCTCCTCAATACTTTAGGTTTAGAAAACAAACAACGATAAAATACACAAACATACTTAGCACATTTTTGTGTCATATGTTGTACCACACGTGTGTCACTTTGGTTAATCTATCTAATAGCCCATAGACTTGGCCTGTGTCCTGTCACTGATAAATATGTTACCTAACGTCCCCCAAGCCAGGAATTATGTGGAGTTGGACTGTAAACCCTGTCTTCTGATTTTCAACCAGTGTTGACTCTTCATAGGGTTCCTGTATACTAAATTAGAAATGTAAATGAAAATTTGCTCATTTAGCTTATTTGTTTTCCTCTGACTTAGCCTTCGTTTTTAACTGATTTATAATGGTGGCATGTGGGGTGGTGGCTGTCTTAGTAGCAATGGTAACCAACAGCTGTAGCACAAGAGGCAAGATTAGCAGCCTTGACTGGATAATTACTACGGGTTAACAAATAGCCCCACACACTCAGAAGTTTCAACTCTAACAGAGTCCAGCATAATTATGACATTTGCCAAGATGAGCTTCATTATTAAGGAAAGTTTAAATTCTGTTCAGTGTATTCTACTTATGAAGGCAAAGGAGTGCTTTAGTTTAAGATTTCCACTTACACTTATTTTACCATTAAAAGGGAAGCAAAATTACGTATTTGGAAATGTCTGCAACCTGTCTTGCACATGATATACTGTATTGCCCTGATTGAGGTTAATAGTTAAGAGTGAGAGGAGTGGTACATGCAATTGTCTAGATGAACCAGAAACTTGATGAAAAGTGCAAAGAAATAGTATATCTGTTTAAAGTTACATGCATTGAAATGGAAGATCTGTTATGAAACCATATATAATAAAAATTGGGGGTTTTTTTGCATTTAATTGTATGTGGAAATGAGAACTTATTTCTGTTTTTGAAGTAAAAGTGAGAACCAAATAAATGTGCTTTAGGTTTTAAAATATAGATATTCTGTAAAGTTTTGTGTGTTTTTTTGCCTTTACATTTGAGAAAAGATTGTATCAATGGTTTTTTGCCTACTAATGTGCAATGAACTGTACTGTCATTTAATACAAAAGCAAGCAAAGAATTAACTGAATTTACCAGTGCTAGGATATTGAAAGATCAAATAGGTGCATCTAAAGGTGTATTAAAATTGAGAATGTGGGAAATATTTTTAATAGCTTTTTTTCTCAGTTTTTTTTAAATTAGAAAAGGACATGTAAAAATTGTAATGTGCAACACTCAAAAGTCATTTCAAGCACTAAAGAATTGAAATAATCATTTATATCATAAGGCATATATTCACTTTCTATTGAGAGAGAGAAAGTAGATATTCTTTAATGTTTCTGAAAAAAACTTTTCAGCATAGATGTTTAAAATTTTGTTCTGAATGATATTTTTCTTTTGTAAAAAAATATATTTTTTATTGATTATTCTATTACAGTTGTCCCATTTTTTTTCCTCTCCTTTATTCCCTTACCCCCTGTACCTCTCTCCCACCAGCATTCCCTCTGCAACCTTCATTCATGTCCATGGGTTGCACATACAAGTTCTTTGGCTTCTCCAATTCCTATACCTCCCCCTGTCTATTTTGTACCTACTATTTATGCTTCTTATTCCCTGTACCTTTTCCCCCATTCTCCTCCCTTCCCCTGCCCTCTGATCTCCATTTCTGTGATTCTGTTCCTGTTCTCGTTGTTTGCTTAGTTTTTTTTTTTGTTTTTTTTTTTTAGGTTCAGTTGTTGATAGTTGTGAGTGTGTTGTCATTTTACTGTTCCCAGTGTTTGATCTTCTTTTTCTTAGATAAGTCCCTTTAACATTTCATATAATAAGGGCTTGGTGATGATGAACTCCTTTAACTTTACCTTATCTGGGAAGCACTTGATCTGCCCTTCCATTCTAAATGATAGCTTTGCTGGATAGAGTAATGTGGGTTATAGGTCCTTGCCTGTCATAACATTGAATACTTCTTTCTAACCCCTTCTTGCCTGCAAGGTTTCTTTTGAGAAATCAGCTGGTAGTCTTATGGGAACTCCTTTGTAGGTGACTCTCTCCTTTTCTCTTGCTGCTTTGAAGATTCTCTCCTTATCTTTAATCTTGGGCAACGTAATTATGATGTGCTTTGCTGTGTGCTTCATTGGGTCCAACTTCTTTGGGACTCTGAGCTTCTTGGATCTCCTGGAAGCCTATTTCCTTTGCCAGATTGGGGAAGTTCTCCTTCATTATTTTTTCAAATTAGTTTTCAATTTCTTGCTCTTCCTCTTCTCCTTCTGGCACCCCTATGATTTGGGTGTTGGAATGTTTAAAGTTGTCCCAGAGGTTCCTAAGCCTCTCCTCATGTTTTTGAATTCGTGCTCCTTCATTCTGTTCTGGTTGAATGTTTATCTCTTCCTTCTGTTTCCAATTGTTGATTTGAGTTCCAGTTTCCTTCCCTACACTGTTGGTTCCCTGTGTATTTTTCTTTATTTCACTTTGCGTAGCCTTCACTTTTTCCTCCATTTTTGTGACCATTCTCAACCAATTCAATGAGCATCCAGATTATCAGTGTTTTGAACTATGCATCTGATAGGTTGGCTATCTGTTCATCCCGTAGTTCTATCTTTGATCTGTTCTTTCATTTGGGCCATATTTCTTTGTCTCAGTTCACCTGTTCCATTATAAGGGGCTAAGCCTTATTTATTTGCCAGGGCAGGGCCATACAGGTCGCTGGGTTGTGGTGCTGTATGTGGGGGAGGGGTCAGAGAGAGAACAATGCCACTTGCTCAGCTCTCAGCGGGCTTTCAGTCACTTCCTCGACTACCCTCCAGCAAAGTGGACCTTTCTGGTGCTGATTCCTGGGAGGGTGGGTTTGTGTACATTCTGGGACCCTGTTGATCTCTCCAATGGACTCTCCTGTGAGGCTGGGAGTTTCTCATGCTGCTGCAACCCCCACAGGTTTTTATAGCCAGAGGGTTTGAGGCTTTTTTTTTTAATGCACTGGAACCCTGGATTGCAGGTTGTGTCTTGCTCCCCAGCTGTTCCTCCTGGCTTATATGTGTGCAAATGTAAGAACACCCAGTCTGCCAGCAGCCGCCTCACCCACCTGGGTCTCCAGCTACCTCATTGCCATATGTCCTCTTTACCCTGGCTGCCCTTCTCCACCCCTCCTACTGGTCCAGATAAATGTTTCCTCTTTAAATCCTTGGTTGTTGGACTTCCATACAGTTCAGTATTCTCACAGTTCTGGTTGGTTTTTGTTTTTAAATTTGTTGCCCTTTTGGTTTTGCAAGGAGGCAAAGTGTATAGACCTACACCTCCATCTTGGCCAGACATCCTCTGATTGAATCTTTATGAACTCTTCATTCAGATGGCTCTGATTTTTTTCTTATCTAAGGTGAGAAAGTAGTAGGGAAGCCACTAGCTTTGAAACAATGAAACTTTATTGGCCTATACATGCATTATGTTGTGTTGATGAAAGATAAGAGGATGAGGAGAGACAGAAAAAAATACTCTCTTTCTGCATATTAAGTGTGTATTTTGAAAATAATAGGCCTGTATCATTTTCTTCTACTTTTCCTTTTTTGTATGTTTATTCACATGTACTTATATTGGAGTCATTGGGTAAATCCATCAATATGACAATTTTGCCTTTGGACTTCATTCCTTGTGTTTCAGGTGGGCCAGCCATGAGAGGGTACCTCGTGGCCATATTCCTGAGTGCTGTCTTCCTCTATTATGTGCTGCATTGTATATTGTGGGGAACAAATGTCTATGGGTAAGTTTCATTTTTGCTGTTTGAAAATGACTTCCAAACTAGTATTTCCAGACACACAAATAACATTAGCGAGAACTATTAAAAAGCCCTATAATATATTGAAAGTTTTCTAGCTTTCCATTATAAACTGGAAATAGAATGGGATCTTACTGTTCTATTACAGTGTACATTTTATCTCTAACAGTTTAAAAACTGACAAGTAACACCTTTTTATTGACTTTCCAGTGAAGCAGTGGTGTTGATCATCTTTGGAATATAACATTCTTTATATAATATTTCATCTCCTTAAATTGATGGAGTAATTCTTAGACTCAATGGTACTTGACTTTAGGAGCCTCAAATGCTTGGATAAGCTTGGATAAGGACATCGTTTGATAAAATGTATATACTACATATGGTTTCCTTTGCTTAAAAATATTTGCTGAATGATGATATATGTATATTTTGGAACAATTTTGACTTGAAATATCACATATAAAACTTTGAAGAGGTAAAGGTAGTTTCACTGCAGAGAAAACTTCTCTAACAAGATTTTTACCCTTTTCCCCATTGTCAGTCCTTTGCCTAGGAATAAAGTTTTGATGATATTTAAACCTGAGTGGGTGGTAGTATATGATTTTTATCAAATTAGATCACATGACAACTTCGTGTCTTAGAAGAAATTAAGCTCTTTGCCAGTGTTTCAATAGTAGATCCTAGATCATGTTTCTAGCTTGTGCTTACTAGGTAAAAATATGTAAGTACTTCCGCATTTAATAACATCACTGGTTGATTGAAAAAATAATTGAAATGCTCTTCATGGAAGGAAGTTAGGCAAAAAGTCACTTGGAAACACCCAATGCCAAGTGGGTGGGTTTAGGTATTAGACTTAACTATTGAGCTAAAGAACGTAGTCTGATCATACACTATATAAAAATTATACCACAAGAATCTCCCTCTGTCTCTGCCACATCCTGTTTTTGTTCCACCCTTAGTAATGTAAGACAAGAACAAAAGAGAAAGAAGCTTATAGATTGCTACTTCCCTATTAATCCTAATGTTGGCCCTAGGAGAAATGATGAGGACAACAAAAAAGTTCTGAGTTAGGCAATAAATTTTATTGGTTGACTTTAGAGAGGGAGGGAGGGTGAGAGAGAGGGAGAGGGAGAGAGAGGGAGAGGGAGAAAGAGACAGAGAGAGACAGACACATTGATTTCTTGTTCCATGTGTTTATGAATTTGTTGATTGCTTTTCGTATGTGCCCTGGCCAGAGATTAAACCTGCAACCATGGCATGTCAGGATGATGCTCTAACCAACTGAGTTACCTGTCCAAGGCCAGCACAGTCTTTTGTCATCAGGATTTGAGGAATGTTCATGATATTCCTAAGTTAGTGCATTACTCCAGGCACAGAAATTATCTCAAATGAGTGTTGCTGTGAACTTGTTTCCTTAAAAGCTATTAAGACAGTGACTAGGGGGCAGGGCAGGGGCCAGTATGGCCTCTTTGCCTCTTTGCACTGACGGTCACCATGCAGGCTGCCAGCACCATGAACATCTTAAATTCAGAGCATGTCTTTGACCACCTGTGGGAAACTGTTGGAACAGCTGCTGTGCAGAAGTCTGTAAACACCGTGAGCCCATGGCGTGGTTGGAGTTGATGTATTGGATAAAGATTCTTCTGGAAAGTTGCACAGACACAGACTTCTCAGCACAGAGTGGGGACTGCCTTCTGTTGTGAAATCTCTTATGGGTGCAACAAGAACCAAAACATATGTGCGAGAACATTCTGTAGTTGATCCTGTAGAGAAAACAATACAACTTAAATCCACTAAATTTTGTTTACAAAAATGGTTTCAGTAGGTGACAAGCGTATGTACAAACCACATCCTGAGGAACTAGAGAAAACTGTTTTGATTCAAGGGGCCCTGATCACTGTGAAAGGAGTCAGGAGTTATCTCAAAGAGCGGATGACAAGGCCAGTATCTTCCAACACTTATGAAGGCTGAGAAGCAATGGAATGGGTAATACATACCTAAATTAAATGCCGACATTGAAGACAGATGGCTTCAGCAAGAGGGAGCATAAAAACTCTGATGGCAGCAACAGTGTTTGTAGAGAAATGATGACAGTTGCTATACAACACCCAGTCCCCTAGATCTCTACTAGCTGGCATACTTATTTATTTAAAAAATACAACTATATTTTATGGAGAATTAAAATAAGCTGAAGAAAGGCTATGTGACTTAACAAAGAGGTATAGGGTTTCTGAATAAAAGGGAACATCTGAAATTATTAGTGTTGTCTGAAATGATTGGTTTTTATTCCAGTATTTATGTGACAATTTAACACTTGAAAAGTACTTGGAAATTGGTGTTAGCATATTAAATCTCCTTCATGGAGAACTTTAAAGCTTTTCTTACGTTCAAACTCTACCCGGCCTTGAACTGACCCCAAAACAAAGCAGAGCCACCTCTAAATATACACAATTACCCTGTTGCAGTAAACCTCAAGAGGGAACTCACTTTCAAAAGAGAAATTATAAAGTTTTAAAGGATATATTAATTTGTATAAAATAACTTGCTCTGCTATAAACCACCATTAACAAAAAGACAGTGTTTTAATTTGGTACTTGAATGACATTTTTGAATTGAAAATTATCACCTAAGTAATATATAACTCAAACAAAAATATTTTATTATATTAAAAGAACACTGCATTGATCTGCCCAAGTTTTGTAACTTGGTGAACATACTACCTTCCTTGGATTTGTACTTTATGACTGAGTATGCTGTGTTGTGGGCTGGTTGTGTTAACTGAAAAAATGAGTCATTACCGGAATTTTGCAGCACTCTGAACTTAAACAGAAGAACAGCTGTTCACATCGTTTAGCATTTGGGTAATTTACCTTTGCCTAACTTGTAAACTGCCATGTGTCAAACTCATGGTCCTATAAATGTTAAAGCATGAGATGTCAGGTTATTTGAATATAATTATTTTTGAAGTAATTGTGACCACTACGTTTTTTGGGTTTTTTTTTTTTTTTACATGAGGAGGACCTGTATATATCACTTGAAATTACTCAAATGATGTCTTTATCTGAGGGGTAATTCCCAGGTACTTAATGTTCTTAATAATAGTGGGCCACTGTGGAGGCGGGCACGGGAGGAGAGAAGAAGGGTAGGAAAGGAAGCGCTGACCTGAAATAACTGCTACATGAATTGCTTTGCAGCTTTTATTTATGGGAAATCCTCATTTTGGGTGCCAAAGGCAGCTGCACTCTCAGAAACAATTCAGGAAACATATTTTGTTTCACATTTTGTAGCAGTTAATTATCAACCAGTAAAAAATATCTTTGATACTTGTAATTGTTGCTTATAGAATATTTTTGTTAAAAGGCGATTAGCTCTTGCCTTTATTTTACAATGTTTAATGTGATAAACTTCTAGTCAGGTTTTCTATAAAAGAAACCAGGTAATATATGTATAAACCCACAGAAATAATATACCAAACTATTTAGAAATTAGTGTTTTTCTACTTGAAATATTATATTGTTTAGCTTAAGACTTAGGGCATTTGCAAAAGCAAGTGAACTTCAGTAAAGTTTTTAATTATTTTTTTATAACCAGAGATGGTTTTTACAATTGAAATAACATTTCAGCTAAACAAAACAAGGCTAAATACTGATATTTAATTAAAAATTACCTTGTATAATTTCTGTAAATTATACTTGTTCTGAAAAAGGTGTAATGAATGCCCTGATGATAAAAAGATTTCATCATACACACACACAACTATTAAGACAGATCATTGTCTTTTTTTAAAGCCACCCAAAGTTCGTCTTCAAATCTAAAATAGTTTGCTTTATATTTCTTAATAACCTTAGAAATCAAGTAATTTACTTTATTTTGTCCTCTGAATATAGTTTTTATGAGATGATATGTTGGTCCACCATATTTATATATTTTCCTTATGTATAAATCAAGGAATTCTTGCCATTTATGGTATTCATAAAAGATGTTTCTTTGCATAAGGGTGTTATTAGCTGGATATGAGGGGCCGCCCCTAAAAGACCCTGGAATTTATTTACAAAAATTGTGTATTTCTTCTTACATGTTTAAATTTAAGTCACCTTCAAAGTAGTGGTTTGGCCAAAAATTTCATTTATTTTCCCCATCAGCTGGCTCTAGTAGAATTCAATTATCTTTAGCTTCATTCAGAACGATTTTGTTAGATTGTATTGTGACAGCTGTCATGCGTGCATTTAAGAAAACTTACAAAAATTGACGAGTTTTTGTGTAGTCATTTTAACATTGAAGATAGAAGAAAATAAGCAACATTTTCAGTATACTATACTTTATTATTTCAAGAAAGGTAAAAACACAGCTGAAACACAAAAAAAGATTTGTGCAGTGTAAGGAGAAGGTACTGCAACTGATTGAATGTGTCAAAAGTGGTTTGCGAAGTTTCCTGCTAGAGATTTCTTGCTGGATGATGCTCATGGTTGGGTAGGCCAGTTGAGGTTGGTAGCGATCAAATTGAGACATTAATTGAGAACAATCAATGTCATACCACATGGAAGATAGCCGACATACACAAAATATCCAAATCAATAAAGTTATTGGTGAAAGTGAAAAATGCTGTCTTTTGTTTTATGGAAAAAAACCTAAATGGACTTTTTGACCAACTCAGTACTCTCCACTTGATGCAATACACCTATTGAGATGTTTTTTCTACTGCTCAAAATAGTGTTTGAACTCGTTGATATTGATGCCTTTTAGCGCTTCTGCCATTTGTTGATTCACCTCTTCCACATTGGCAAAAGTTTTCCCTTTGAGGACTGTTTTCATCCAGGGAAACAACAAAAAAAATGTTGCTGGGGTGATATTGAGGGAGCAGGGATGCCGGGGCAGCAGGGTCCTGCCATTTTTGGTAAAAAAAACTGCTGAACACTCTGCATGGTGTGGACGGGTGCGCTTGTAAACCACCGTGATGAAATGGGCAAATGTGTTGAAAGTCTTCCAAAAAAAAAAACTTACTGAAGCCGAACACAGCCTCTCAGGACAATGACCAGCGGGTACACTGGTACGGATGGGTTCCTAGAACACTCACCTAGCTTCCCCTGCCCTCCAGAGGGTAATTCAGGTTTTTTAGGGTCCCCCTTCGTAGTTCTGGAACTTAGCACTTCTAACCATACCTTAGGGATTTGGTATTGCCTCAAAATTGAAAATTGGGTCTATCCATGGGGCATTTAGACTATTTATTTCAGTTTGAATCCTGTGAGTTATAGAAGAAAATGAATTAGTTTTCTTTTTAGATTGATTTTTCACATAATTGATTTCCATTAATATGTTGTTAGATTAAGCTGTTCTCCTCTTTCCTGGCTGTCTGGATCCTGCCACCCTATCCCTTTCATTTATTTTTGTTTTCTCTCTCTTTCACAATACCCTTTTAAATTGTAGAGACAAGCGCTCCATTCAGGAGACACACAAGGCCCAACCTGTGCCAAGAACTGAGGAGAGTTAGATGTGACTCTCAATAGTGTGATTTGTGGAGTCACCAGATCACAAGGCAGGGTGTGTGTGACCTGCTCAGGTCAGTGCATCTGTGGTCTTTGCTGCTGGTAGGTGACCCAGATTGAGCATAGAGGATCCATGGCTGTGGGCACTTGGGTGAACTGGATTCCTCAGGCTTTTGGGGACTTCTAAAAAGTGAACCAGGCTGTGCCTTCCACAGCGTGATAACCCAAGCCCTTCTTGGAGGGTCCTTTGATTCACTGCTCTTTGACCTGCTCGTGGGTCCCTCATCACCTCAGCCTTTTGTATCCCTCTTGCTTTGCATCCACGAATCCTCAGATGTGTGCAGGACATGGAGAAGGTACTGTCATACCTCAGGGGCGGCTGTGAGGACTTTCGTTTGCTACCTGAGAAGCCTCTCAGTGGTGGCACAGAGTGGGGTCCCAGGACATTTGCTTCCCTTTGGGCTGGCCGCCTGGTTCTGCTTTCTCACCGACACTGTTTCTGTCTTATAGGGTGCCTCCTGTGGAAATGAAACGAAGAAATAAGGTCCAGACTTGCTCGTCAAAGCCAGCTTTTGCATCTCTCCTGAGGTAAAGATGAAAGAAACTGTGGCATACAAAATGTTTAGAATGTGTTTGCAATCGTTTTCCACACTTGTTTACCTTTTTTTGTTCAAATATTAGCAGTATAAAGAAGACACCCTACATTTAAGGAAGAGCTTGAATATCCTGTCTCTTTGTGCTTTTAGTCAGAGCTCTGTATGTATTTTAAATAAAGGCATTGAAGAACTCAATCAGACTAGTGTTCTTTTCACACAGGTGAGATTAGAGAGGTCTATTTGTGTTTGATCATAAAAAAGTAAACTATTTTTTAGGGTTTTATTTCACCCCCTTGTTTTCCCACGTTATTTTTATCCTTATTTTTTGGCTCCTTCCCCCTTGCCTCTAGGTTAAACTTCACATTTAGAAATTTTCCCTGAGTTTCACTGACTTTTAATACATATTCATCTATATAGAATGTAAATAATGATTGTTCATTATTGTTGCCAGGACTTGTAGGGAATTTATTCTTCCATTTACAAATATTTTTTCTCTGTCACCTCACCTTTAACAGGCTAGTCAAAATAATTCTAGATAAAAAGGAATAAATGATGGTCTAGTCCGGGCATGCTTAATTGTGTAAAACAGGTATAAGTTTTTTTTTTTTTTACAATTAAATCTATTAAGGATAGATTAAATTTAAGAAAAACAAATTTTCTGCTTTTATTTTGTTTCATTATGTCGTTGCACCTTTCCATGACTGGTTCTTTACCTTTTGGGGGCCACAGGTCCCCTGAAAAAGTCAACCAGCTCTCTGGAAACCTGCAGATACATGAACTACTTCTGCACATGGTTATAGGCGAGCCACAGCTGCTTGTAGTCTCTCCCTGGGGTTGTGTCCAGTGAGGGCCACTGAGAGGCTTGAAGAGTGTTCTCACGCTGCTTTGACCGTGACCCATGCTAAGAAATACATTTTACTTTGTAACTTAGTATACATGTGTAGTTATAATAAGAAAGAATTTTTACCCTTCTTATTCCAGATGCCCTGTATTCTGTTCCATTTACTTTTAAAAAATATGTTAATCATGACTCTCCAAATTGATTTCATGAATTGCCTATGGATTTGCAGACTGCAGGTTTAAAAGGCTACTCTAAAATCAAGGTGTCTTCTTTAGTGGAAAAGGGTATTTCCTTTCTGAGAAAACCCCAAAGGGTTAAACAATTTATGTAGCATTGCTCAGCAGGAGTAGGAATCTACAGTTTAATTGTCAGGTAGATCTGTACTGGCCCTGCAAATTGTATTAGCTGGGGGCGGCAGCAATCAGGAGAAGCTCCACTGGGAAGCCTGGACGTGCTGCCTGCAGAACCGTAAAGAGGACACCTTTCCTCAGGGTTAAGCTTGGGTATGGATTTCAGCTTGGTCAGTTATGGGTCAGTGACTCCAGATAATCCTGTATAGTTCCTTCACTTCTCATAGCTTCAGTTTCTTTGTCTAAATTGATTAATAGACTTTACCTACCCTCCCAAGGCTTTTGTAGGTATTACAGTAGCAGAAATGTAATATAACATGATACATTATAATACAATGTAATAGACAACGTAATGTATAATTATTACAGATAAGGCTGATACTTATTGAGCCCCTACTGTGTGTGAGACACGGTGCTAAACTATTATTTCATTTAGAAATAAAATGTAAGTCATTTAGTACAAGGTTTGACTGGTAATAGACATTAATCGTTGGTCATCATCCTCATCACCCCCACCATAGGCAAAGAACACAGCCCTTTACTGCATTGCTCTCAGGGCGCAAAGTCATGTATGGTTCACTTTTCCCGGGCTGGGAAGATCTTGAGTCTCCTCTCAATCTTAGGTCAGGTGACCTGACAGTTTATCTTCTCAGAGCAGATCCTGAACTTGAGCTTCAATCCTGGTATACAAATGACCTTCCAAGATTGGCTGGACCTTCAAGGCTGCTATCACTGTAACCACCGAATCTGGGAAACACCTCATATCTAAAGCAGGAAGGGCTGGTCTCTCACATGTTTCCTTAGTCTGAATACCCATGAGTTTTTAGCTCAGCTCTGAAGCTCTGAATCTCTGGGACCTGCCTAAGGCTAGTGATTCAGGAGTGGGAAAGCCAGCAGAAAATTGCAGCTAGTTCACCCCTACTCTACTGCTGTTGATTTCCGTTCTGTCCTGTAGCCTCTGGAACCCCAGGGACACTCTCATCTCCACCTGCAGTTTTTAGACTAAGAAAATGCAGAAGTGAGAAGCCGGGAAAGATGGGGGCCCTTTGTGGGATTTGGGCTAAAGGTTAGCTTGATTCGCTCTGTGGCGTGCTGTGCTTCAGGTGGGCTACGATAGCATTTTAATATAGGTGCTACCTGTTCCTTCTCTTTAATTTAAAAAAATATTTTTCTTTTAGATAATGGTTGCATCAAGAATTAACTTGGAGTTGGAATTCACTCAATCATTTATTAGATATATGTTGTCTCACCACTCTGCTAGGCATTCAAAGTGAGAAAAACCAGAGGCTCGCCCGACGCTCGTCACACTTTCTCTCTTGTCTGAGACAACCCCTGAGCAGCGAGTACCTTCAGGCCAGAGCAGGCAATAAGAAGTCAAGTGCCCGTGGTTCTTGTTCTTGAGTAAATCTTAATTTAATGACATCAGGAGTTTAGCTCTAGCGACATCTAATTTTAATGTATTTTTCATTTTGACAGCGGACACTTTCATACATATGGTGCCTTTTCATTTGGAAGTAGCTTAGCATCAATATTTTTATTTTCCCATAGTAATTCATTTGTTTCTTCCTGTATATGGCTAACACTTTATCACTTGGTGTTGGTTTTTTAAAAAAAAACTTTGTTCCCCCAAACCCCGTCCCCTTAGCTCTTATATAATTTTGGTTCCACTACCTGGAACGTGTTTCCATTCTGGTTTGTAGTTTCATGGTGTATCCCATTCTATGTTATATTTAAACACTGACTCCGTGATTTTAAAGAATTTTAAAAATGATTTTACCATCATATAGTCAATATAGCAATATGAATGATATGCCACAGTTATTTTCAGTTGTGACTTTAAAAGCCTAGAGTTGTTACAGGCATTTGGGAACAGTCATTCTTTATCCTTATCTTCCAGGTTTCATCAGTTCCATCCTTTTCTTTGTGCTGCTGATTTTAAAAAGCTTGCTTCCTTCTATGGTAGCGATAAGTTTGATTTGCCCTATGGGATAAGAACATCAGGTCAGTAATGTTATCCTTGCCCTGCCCTATGAAATATGAGTGGTGTTTGAAGTTTATATAATTTTAAGTCCATTTAATCTTTCTGCTTCATAATGATTCCTAAAGAATATGGTTTGGGAATGAGAAGAAGGGGATCGATTTTAACATATAACTAACTCCCTTTGAGGCCTGTAGAATAAAAGAATAAACAAGCTAGATTTTGTTGTTGTTGTTGGGGTTCAGACGCTGCTGTCTACTTTTCTTTTGTCATCGTATGGTCAATGAGTTCGGACGCCCTTCCTAACTCCAGCTGAGAATTAGCAGGGTAACTCTGTGTTAAGTTCCTTCCGATCTCGCATTTCACATGTTTACTTGTGAGTTTTACTTCATCAGCATGGTCTAGCTCCTTGACTGATTTTAAAAATTTATTCAGTGGATATTTTATTTTTGCTAAATTTAGAGAGAAATACTCCATCTACGAATGGTGATACACTTTTCCTTCTGCTTGACAAGTGATTGACCTTACACAGCTTTACATTCTCAATTTTTAAGAGACTCCAAAAGCCCAGAAGGTCATAAGCCTACGGTTTTCTGAGTTAGATTTTGCTTATTTAACTAATCCTCTGTGAATGGGTACATATATGTTTTAAAAATATATTGCAGAGAGTTTGATAATTAAATAAGGTTTAAACTTTCTGCCTATTGATTTCTCTACTGATGTCAATTTCAGAATCATCTGATACTTCTAATTTGGGGGTTACTGTTTTGTGATTGTTTTCCCATTAACTTCTTATTTTTCTGAGGTTTTTTGGCACATGTCCTTGGAGCATTTACCATTTGAGTGTGCCTATTAAGTAGTGCTGGCTGCATGCAATTATATCATGAATCTTCATCACAGAAAAAATCAGATGTAGCCCTACCAGCTGAAAGTGGCTTTGGGAGAAGCGAGGGAGCGAGGTAGCTTACTATGTACTAAAGCAGCCACGACTTCTTTTCTGCACAGTATTCCTTTTGTTTTCTAGCGGAAGATTTTCAACGTGCTCTTTCAAAGCTGCAGAGCTGTGACCTCTTCGATGAGTTTGACAAGTGAGTTCATTTCCTTGCTTCTGTTTGACTTTTAGTTTCATCTGAAGTGGTTCAAAGTACACTCCCACTGTATGTGGTCACTCAGGAAAATTCCATAGCCTCTGTGCATAACTAAAACATCTAGTAGTTACTTCCAGGACACTTGAAATACACTACACAATTAATATAGAAGCTGCATGATTGGTTGGCCCAAAAGTTTGCAAAAGGTCTTACGATGAGTGATGCCGGTGTAAAGTGAGGGCATTTTTAACTCACCTTCATCTTTCCTAAGTTGTTGTTACTGAAGAATTAATTCACACCCCTGTTAATCAGCTCACAGCCTCCTCTGTGGGCTGTTTCCCATACCTTCCCACGTATCTTTTAAACTGTTCATAAGGATCCTTTCCGTTCTATTTGAATATCGGATTTCAGAAGCAGCTCCATTCCTATTATTCAGAATTATATGTGAGGGAAGCAAACAGCTTGCTTAGATACACATTCTCTGACCGCAAATAGCAATTTAGCTTTTAGAAAATTTTGATATCAAGTTAACCCTGTAGGAATTGAATTGCCAACTGAATGAGCAGGGAGACTTATTTCCAAAGTTTTAAGCTCCCCTGCAGAATTTGGCCAGTGGTCCAGGGGGATGATATGGGTAGTCTGTAGATGTCAGGCCTCCATTGAAAAGTAAAATGCAGAATTTCCCTTGCTCAAGGGAGCAGAGGTGCCACTTGCGGGGTGGGTGCAGAAATGGGCCCGCAGGCAGAGTGGTGCTACATTTTGTCTGAGTTTATCTCATTTTACTGACGTGTGGATTATGTTATATATGTTGGTTCATTTTAGTTTGTACTTGTTACAATTTATGTTACTTTTTTACTTTGTGATTCCTTTTTTTTATTTTTATTCAATTTCTCGGTGTGATATTGTTTAATAAAATTATATAGGTTTCAGGGGTACAATTCTATAATACATCATCTGCATATTATATTGTGTGTTCACCACCCCACGTCAGGTCTCCTTCCATCACCATGTATCCCTCCTTAGCCTCCCTACTTCCCTCACCCCGTTTTCCTTCTGGTAATTGCCATACTATTGTCTGTGTCCGAGTTTTTTCTCTTCTTTTTTCTTTGCTTCATCCCTTCACTCTTTTCACTCAGACCCCCAACCCCTGTACTTGTTATAATTTAAAACAATGCCATTAACGTATCTCAATACCAATTTTTGATTGCATATCAACAACATAAATTCTTTTCTAACTTAAAGTTTATATAGCTCTTATTAGTAGAATATTGTTTTGTGCATACTGCTGGCATCTGTGCTTTATGTCAGTTCTCTTTATTTCCTACAACCACTCTGTAAAGTATGATTGATGATCTTCACCTTTTAGCAGGGGAAACAGGCCAGGCAAACGTCGGTCGCTTGTTACAGCTGGCAAATGCCAGAGCCAGGATGAAACCTAGAGAACTTTATCCAGTGCCTGGATTTCTGACTTAAGCATGATAAGGATTATACCTTAAATATTTGCCGCAAGTATCTGCAAACATCTGAAAAGATTCTTAGCCCTGTAAATGTGAGCTACTGTCAGGACACTTGAGGATATGTGAGTGAAAGTTTTGTCTTTCCTTTATTTCTATCTTAGAACTAGACTGTGTTTCATTCAGTTGCTTTAAGAAGCTCTTCTGGCACAGATGTTCATCATCTGTGCGCCTGGGCCAGGCTGCTTCCTCTCTTCTTGCTGACTCAGTCTTTCTGTTCCCTACCCTTCCGTCCTTTGTCACTGAGGGCACCCCCTCCTTGCACCATCAACACCTGTCAGCTGCTTAGCATCTCCTGTTTGGAGAGGGAGGTGGTTATGGGTGGTGAGGAGAGATCAATAATCATGCTGACTGCACAAGAGTCCCTCAGTCTGAAGTTGTTAAGAGACAGAGGACGAACTCATGCAGCCAGAGACTCTTCCAATGGAGAGTGACTGGAAACGCCCTGGTAGGATCCCAGAGTGCACACAGGGAGGCACTCAGACACTCAGCGTTGCTGAACTGCTTGTTTGACATGAGCACACCTGCTCCCTAGAGACTTCAGAAAGGGTATTTTGAAATTAGATAATGTTGACTGAGTTAAGAAACATCCCAACCTGTAGAGAAGTCTTCTGAGTTTGTGTGAGCCAAACTGACAACAAATGCTTGGGAGCAAGACCTCAGATGGTCTGGAGCACGGCACCTTTGCAGCTCACTTTATGTATTAGAATAAAAGAAGGTCTAAGAAAGGTGCATGAAACCTGCTGGTGGTAGATTAAGGAGGTGAGAGAAAGCAAAGCAGGGAGATCTCTAGGGCTGGATAGAGACAACACAGAGAAACACATACTTTTATATTGGTGGGGACAGGACAGTTAACAATTGACATTTACAGCACATAGAGACAGCATGCAAGGAACTAGATCACAATGCGGGGGGTGTTCTGTGGTCTGTGCTCTGGTGCCAATGGTTGTGCCTTCAGGGGCAAGAAAAGAAAATTATTCTGGCATTTCGAAGGTATGTTATCCTACATGCGTAAGGACGATGGACAGGGCCTACTTGAGGTAAGGATTGACCTTTGCTAAGAAAGCTGTCGGCCGGAGACATGACTGCCTGCCCTGACCTGCCCAGTTAGGAATTTGTGAAGACCATCCTGTGGAGGTACTTCTGGTCACTGACCTCATTAGTCAGCCTTGTGCCGCACTGAGCTTGTCAGGTTTATCGCCTGGCTCTTTTTTTGTCCACAATAAGAATGTGCCTGTGATGTTATCATCTTCTCTTTGCATATGAACTTCTGCCAGGGGTTCACATGTGATATATTTAATCCTTATTTTAAGTAAGTCGTTCTATGTTTGTCTGGAACCCACTGTACAACACAAAGATAGTAACAGGCCAGCTTATGCCTGAGCAATGCATTTTAAATATATTCCAGAAAGGCAGGCACGCTAACGTGCCTCTGTGCTGCCCGAGTCGATTCAGATTGTCCTCTGTGTGACGTACACCTACCATTTCTCCTGCAGACTTGGAAGAAACACTCCAGAAGGAGAAGGTCTGAGGATGGTCTTTCTTTCTCAGGCAGAGGAGTTGGACTGCCCCAGGGGGGAGGGGAGCCCTTCCTGAGCCCCACGTGCATGGGGAAGCGGCCCCACGCGTCCAAACACGGGCTTGCTCACCCTTTGTTGTAGGTCTGTAGGTCAGAGAGGAGGGGCTGCGGCGGGAGAGGCGAGGCCCCTCCTTTCAGGTCCATTTCCTCTTTGGCTTTTCTCTTCACCAGAATGTGATTCTCCCTCTGTCCTCTTTGTTCCTTCCAGAAGGGTTCAAACATTTTGTTGTTGTTGTTTCAAAACTGAATCCTTTATGATCCTACCAAATATAATCCTAGCTTTGTGCAGTTATCTTATTCAGCATGCATGATACCCTCAGTTATGAAAGATTCCACTGTGAATGGTAACACTCCAAATAAATATTGTACCAGTTGCATTTGCAAGACAGAAGTTTTCTTCTTTCTCACAGGTGGTAGGTAAATGAAGCTGGCAGGTAAGCATTCGGGGCCAGCCCAGCAGCTGTGAGCATCAGGGGCCAAGGCTTCTCCCTTGTGACTTGGCCGTTTCTACAGAAACAACTTCCTTCTTATGGTCCACTCTGAGGGCTGTGCCTTCAGCAATCACATCTGGCCACCAAGGAGGAGGAAGGGGGAAGGGCATGCCCCCGTCCAGTAAGACTTGCCTCCTTTCAGGACATTTCCCAGAAGTCACATATCATACTTCGTTGCAGTCTGTGATGTGCTGGAGCCTATTGGTGCCAAGTGGTGGGGCTGCAGCTCTTCCCAGTTCTGCGTTCAGTGACATCAGGATGGAAGCTTAAAACTACCCATGGTGGGATGACTTATACCATGGAAACTGGCAAACATAACACAACAAGGCTTCTCCCATCCACCTCCTCCCTCCCAGAGAGAAGTGGTTGTTAAACATTTGCTGGCAAATACAGATTATATTCAGTGGACTAGGAAAATAATAACAAGGCCACACCTAGCTCTAAATTGGATTGGAGATACTGGCCCTTATTTCACATGGCTGTGTGTGCACCTTAAAAAAAAAAAAAAAAAAAAAAGAAGTGCCTTCTTTTAATGAACACAGGAAACATGATTATTAGGGGCAACTAGCAGCCTTCCTCAGCACGCTCCACCATTGTCCTAGTCCCCACAGTTCATGCTTGAGAAGGTCAGGATGCTGAAGTCAGTTACTGTGTAACTCTGGAGCAACTGAGCCAGTGCCCTGGAGCAGCCCTGGTTTCCCTCTTGGGGAACCGATACATTGTGCAGGCTGTGGAAACACACTAGCCTTGTCAATCATTTTGAGGTGGCATCTCTTATGGACATCTACTTTATGCCATATTTGTAAGGTAATGTTAGTAATAACACTGAGGCAGAGAGAACCTTTCTCTAAAGTTAATTCCATGAAGTTCTTGGGCCAGAAATAAAGAGGGAAGGGAACAGGAGTGTGTGTTTGGCCCTAAAACTGTGTGAAAGAGCCTTGGAGTTGTAACAATTCCATGCTTGTTCTTTGCTCTGCCTCCTCCTTTCCATAATCATTCCATGCCCACCCCCCAACAACAACAACAACAACAACAAAACCTGCATGTTTTTTCCTCACAGTTTTTTTGTCACAATAATAATTATAATAATTTATCGCCCTTCCTATAATTGCATGTTAGAAAAAACATTCACATTATAGAAAATTGCCTTTCCTCCTAATTTTGTGACTGTTCTCTGTGAAAAGATAGCATGCAATAGGACGTGTACATTGTACATTTTATTTTGTTTATCTTTCTGGTATGTGTTCTTAACAGAGGGTATAATCTGGGGCTTTTTCCTTTATAGTCTTTCAGCATTTCTCTCCTGAGCAACAGCCCAGCAGGCTGTGGTAGGGTAAATACTGAGGCTGCTGACCTGTTTTCTAAAGAATCCTAATCGCCTAAGCTAACCTGTCCTTGATGTGTTGTGTGGACTGA